CGATTTATCATACGCCTCCCTCCTGTTGAAGAGAAGTCCGAGCTTTTCTCAGGGGTGGGGATCCACGCCGTCCTGTCCACTCAGCAGCTCAGAGCCTGGAGCGCGGTCATCTCCGAAGCAGAGAGAAAACTCCTGCTGGAGAAGCTTGTGGATTCTCCCGGCGGCACTTTGAAGCTCCGTCTCACACTTAAATTCGCCCTTTTCTATGTGTTTTGAGGATGAAGATGATGAGAAATAAGAAAACCACAGAGTGGGCACTAACTTTCCACAGTGCATTTTCCTGAATGTTTTCTTGTCTTGGTCCTCACGGCAACGCTGTCACATGGCCAGGAAAGATGTAGCTGCCCCAGTTGCCTTGGCAGTGGCTGGCTTGCCCAGGGAGGTGCACAAGTTAAGGGACAGAGCTGGCCCCACGCCAGGCTGTCTGATTCCGTCCAGTGCTCGCTCCAGCCACTGTCTGCTGTGGGGCTTACAGAATGGTTCGTTCACCGCCGGGAATAATTCTTAAATGTTATTTACATTAGTGGGGAAGGAAAGAAAGAAGATGAAACTCCGTCTTCAGTTACCGTTTACAAGAGAATTTCTCCTGGGAGTGTAAAGGGTAGAGTAACACTTGAATTTAAGGGGAAGTTACACTCGCAGTTGGAAGAAGTAGTGTTTCCTTGTCTTCTAAAAGGTATTGAGCAGCCAGTGGCCTTCCGACGTGTTATACAATCCATTTCCTCTTCGTATTTCTTTCACCCATATTTAAAGATGTTGGTTTTTTGCCACAAAATGATAGAGTTCTTTATTAAATTGTGTTTGTTTATGGTACTGAAATTAATTATCTCCACTTTGACCTGATGGATAAATGAGCTATCTCATCCGAGATGACAGTTTCTTGACCATTTTCAAATCCATGTTCCAAGTAAGGCCGACGGTATTGCTTTATAAGCGTTCAACTTACCTCTTCATAATGACTTTTTCTTTAACTAGATTTAAAAAAAAATTTTTTTAACATTCCATGCAAATTAATTCTTCCAGTTATGTTTATTTTCTAAGACACATTAAAAATGCTTCTTGTGCCATCTGTGGAAATGACTTAATATTTCAAGCAAGGCAGACTGAAACATTTACCAAAGTCACAATTTACCTGCAGAATTTGAATAGTGTAAAAATGGAATTTTAGTTTGAGATGCTGTTCTTCAGATTTGCTTATTAATAGTTTGCCTTGATCACAAGTTTTGGGATGAACAAGCAGCCTTGGGCACCAGTCCACATGGCCACATTGGTATTTGCAGCTCACATACAATTTCTTGTTTTACAGTCTGGAAAAAGTCTCTGAAAGAAAAATGGAACGCTAAGCCGGTGTATGTGGTTGGAAATGCCACCGCTTCTCTAGGTAAGCAGTCAAGGCAGAAACGAAACATGTAAAGATGTCTGTGATGTGATTCGGAATAGGAATATGTCTTGGTCGCCATCCCTGTTCCTGGCACGGAGCTCCTAAAACCCTCGGACTCTCCTAAGTGGTGAAGATGAAGGTGTTATTCATGTAACAAAAGTGTTCTTCATAACAAACCTCTTTCACTTCACCTGAGTTTATTCTGATGAAATGACTTGTAGAAAGGCCCTAGAGTTGGGGCTGGTTGCCAGGGGAACCAGTCATGTGATTACAGTAGGGACTTTAGACTCCCGCCCTCCACCCACCACATCTGGGAGAAGGGAGGGACTGGAGGTGGAATTAATCACCAGACTGATGATTTAATCAGTTGTGCCTCTGCGATGAAAGCTCCGTAAAATGCAAAAGGACAGTGACATGCAGAGGCCGGGCGCCAAGCCCGGAGAGGCGTGGAAGCTCCGTGTCCCCTTCCCATACCTCGCCCTGGGCGTCTCTTCCATCTGGCTATTCATTTTTTTTCTTTTGAAATATCCTTTTTAATATATTTGCAGTATTAGAAAACCATTTTTCTGAGTTCTGCGAGCCATTCGAGCAAATGATCAACCCAAGGTGGGGTTGCGGGAACCACCAGTTCATAGCCAGTCGTCAGAAGCACAAGTAAGAACCCAGACTTGGGGTTGCAGACTGAAGCGGAGGCTCTTGCGGGACTGAGCCCTGAATCTCTGGGATCTGACGCACGTCAGAACTGAGTGAAACTGTAGGAACTGGAGAGTTGCTTGGTGTGGAAATCCCACACACCTGGCAGCCGAAGTGCAAGCTGAGTGTGGTAGTAGAGAGAAAAGAACGGGCTTTTTCCCCTCAGCGACACTTGCTCATTCGTTTTTTCAGACACACTCTAATGCAGTTTGAAATGTGATTTTTTTTTTGCTTATTAAATTTTAGAACAGCGTCTCAGTCAGTCTTTGGCTTTCGGGATCTTGACGCTTTTAGGAAGCACGAGCCGGTGACTGAGCAGCTGGTGCTCCAGGTCGGGTTTGCCCACTGACCCCTGGGAGTAGACGCGTCCGGGCTACGTGTGCCTGGCGGGAACGGCACAGAGGCACAGGCAGTGCCGTGCTCTGCTCATTGATGAGAAAGTTCTGGAAGTGTGTAGTGGTCGTATACCGTTGTGATTGTATTTAATGCCACTGAATTACGCACTTAAAAAATAGATAAAATGGTAAATTTTATGTATTTTTTCTAGAATAAAAAATGTGAAAGGAAAATCACTAAATACTAAAGAGAGTTATCTCCAGGTAGTAAATAGTAGTGTAGTGGGTTTTCATAATTTTCTTAGTATTTGCTACATTTTCCCAAATAGTCTTGAATTTATATGTGTTTAAAGCACCAAATATAAACAGTGAATCATTAAAAATTAATATGCCATTTTAAATACTTAAACAGTGCTTAGCTGTTGTGAGTAAATGAACATATAACTTTCTTTCAAAACAGTTCAGTTTCTTTAAATGAATTTTAAAACTTTGGAAGGAGGTGCCGGGGGAGTGGAAACAGTTGAGTGATTAAAAGCACATCTTCCAGAGAGCAAAGGAGGTTGGGGGAGCAGTCGGAAGTTGCTAGGTTCATTAAGCGATGGCGCGTGGCTCTTCCAGGCCGCAAAGCTTCCACTCCAGGCTCAGCAGATCAGCTGGGAAGGGAGAAACAGCGCGGTTGCCAAGGGAACCGCCTCCACTCTCCCACGTTGCCCCCCAAAAAATAAGTTAAGAACTTGCTTGTACTTTCTTTGACCATTTCTTTTTTCCCTGAAATAGAAGAGGAAAGAACATAATATAGGCCGTGTCTGACTCATAGACCAGAATCTCAACTATCACATGTGATGTGTTTATGAACGTTCCCGTTTTGATTTTGCCCTCACGCGTGCACACGTTAGCTCATACGCATTGCGCGCCCTCACGCGGCCTTCGGTTTGCTTCTCGTGGCGTCGATATGCATTCTGCTCTCACGGTTCTGTCAGGTGAGAAGAAAACTAGAAGAAAAGAAAGTTGTGACTCAGTGATGAGAAACCTGGAGACAGAGCAGCGGAGAGTGAGCCGTCCCAGTGTGGCACAGGTGGCAAAGCCGGGGTCTCCGCTGGACACTTGACCTCAAGCTGCTCCCTGTTTATTCAGTCGCAAAGGGAAGGGACATGCTCTAAATGCTGGAAACACTGTCAAAGGAGAGATGACATTAGGGATTTTGCAGTTTTCAAAGATCTCTTGGGAGGAACCACATCCTATCTTAACATGAACGTCAGTCACCCAACTTTCGAACGTTCTGTTTTAGTTCATCTTCCAGACATGACACACAAGAGGATCTCTCTTTGCTGGGCACAGAGAAGAGGCGTTGCTTGAACTCTTCAGAGCAGAGCCAGCCTTGCTGCCCGCAGGGACTGAGACCTTGCACCAAACGCTCATTCCCCAAACTTCCAGTGAGCCTCTGGGCTGCAGGTAGACCAGACAGCCCGGTCCCTGCCCTGAAGGGCAGAACTGAGGGACTGGAGGAATCTGCCCTGAGCCTCCTCCACTGCAAAGTACAGGAGTGACCTCCGTGAGGTCCAGCTCACAGGGTTGCGTAACGACCAGATGAGCTCATGCCCACTTAGTGGACAGCAGAGCAGGACGGGAGGCCAGTCTGGGCAAGCCTCCCACGGTCTATCTCGGTGCTTAAGTGGAAGGCACACGAATGTCGATATTAAGCACCGACATCATGCCGAGTACTTGCGCCCCCGTTCAGTTCCCCGCAGTTTTCAGGGTTCTTTGGTGCACTGGGAACTTCCTGGTTCAGTCAGAGGGCCGGTGACATGGCGTGAGCAAGGGCTTTGTTCCTGAACTAAGTTTACAGCTGCATGTGACCTTTGTCCCTTGGACTTAGCACATTTGCGATGGTCTGTAAATTAAAAGCCGAGAGTGTTGACGCTAAAGCTGCAGTTTGTTATTAGCCCGTCTCAGCGCATTCCAAGCAGACGCCCACTGCACCTCCTTTCTCAGAGGAGACCCACTTCCTGTGAACAGCTACGCGCGCTGAGCCACCCTCTGCAGAGTGACCAGCGTTCCCGCGTGCAGAGTGCCTGCTTCTAGCTCAGTTCATGGCATCAGTCTCCCAAAAGTGGCTGGCACAGCCCCTCACCCTGAACCGCCTGCATTCAAGGTGCTAGGGGTCCCCTTTGGCAGACTCTTATGAAACCTCCCCTCCTCTCCCTCCCATTCCAGTCTCGCCGAGTGGACCCTCACCACCTTTCCAGACAGAGCTGGCTACTCTCCTACCAAAGCGAGGGCTCTCCCATGCCCTATGGACAGATCTCAGAAAATCCCTTTCCTGAGCTCCTCCAAGATGGCTGGTTGATGCTGTCATCATCTCCTGTAATCCTTAGAACAGTCCCATATGGTCGTGTCTCCGCCGTGGTAGATGAGCTCAGCCTCAGCGGGGCTCAGAGGAATTACTGAAGCCACAGGCCTCAGGAGGGTGGGGCCAGGAGTCAGCCCCGTCCCCCTCACACCTGCGACCTTGCAGGGCATGGAGGAGACTCCCTGCGTGATGGGTGACGCACATGCACTTACATTTGTATGTTAAAAAGACAACACAAACAGATGGACGTTAGTAGCCATGTAAAGAGATAACATCTTTTGTTGTTTTCCAGTGAATAAAATTGGCCTGGATACGGAAGGAGAACACTGTGGAAATGCAGAAAAGCTTGCAGAATACATTTGTTCCAGTGAGTAGAAAAAAGTCACCTCAAACAAAGCCCTTTTGTGTTTGATCACTGGTCACACACCCACCATGGCAGAACGGGGTGCTTCCTCGTAGCGTTCTCCATGATGACGCTGGTTGGTGCGCAGTGTGAAAGCCACCCCTGGGCCCATCACCTCCTGGTGCTTGTGAGTGTCTGTGCTTGCCCGAGATTCAGCCCACCTCCCGCCACCCCCTACACCGAAGGACGTGAGACAACTCAGACAGCACACAAAACGTCAGTGTGTTTGGGCTCCTTTGCCAGCGGCTCACACAGGATGCAGAGTGATCCAACGCCAGGCTCTTTCTTGTCAGGTCCTTCCTGGGGATCGTGGTCACCATTAAACACACCGAAGCCCTTTCAATGTAGAAATCAGTGTGACTGGTAGAGCCTGGTGTCCCCTGGGCTTCAGAGCCTTTGTTTACAAACAGTAGTTATTGGTTCTGTGAGTGGGAGGACAGTGAATCCTTACGGGAACAGGTGGCCTGAGTCGGTTTCCACGGCAGCTGATGTGGCCGTCCTCACAGTGGATGTGTTCGTTCTGGAAGGACACGGAAGGGAACTGAGTCATTCCTCAATGTCCAGTCCAGAGCCATCCAGCCACGGGCCTTGCTTTGCAAACACAGGCAGAGGGGCTCCGTGTCACTGCTGTGTTACCACTGCAGCTTCAGCTGCCTGACTCACGGCTTGCAGGTACCCTGCGTGCGTTCTGCCTGTATCTCAGAGGATACCGGCTCCGTGCTCCTTGCAAAGCCTTTTGTTACTTCCTCTGATTTACAAACACCAGCGTGTCTGTGAACCCTAATCTTCATTTTACTATCGGAATATCCAAATAATCCACCTTGACTGCTCTTCAGGCCCTTGGCCTGGGCTTTACCAAGGCGTTCAGTTCCCCCCCCCGCCCAAAACTCTGAAGCGTAAATTTAAAAGCTACAGATCTACTTCCTGTGTTTGGAGTAACCAGGCCACTTCATAGTTACTGATTACGTTATTTAACGAAGAGTCACATGCTATGTGACCAGCACTATTGTAAGTGCCTAAAGCTGACAACTAAATTAATCTGATAGCTCGTTGTTCTGACAATTCTTCCCTCCCAGGATGCCCCCTCTAATGGAAAAAGTACAGCTTAAATGGTAAAAGGTAGAAAACAGTTCTAACTCAGAGAGCACATCAGAAGCAGACATTGTACTGCAGTTTATTTGAAACGTCCTCCTGGACTCAGAGCGGACAAATGCGCGGGCTTGCTGGCTCCCCTCCATCCTCCCTGCTCGGCCTCATTACCCTCGCTACCTCCCACGAAGGCCCCACCGCCCGCTCCGCCTGGGTTCTCGCAGCAGCACCCGAGGGGGTGAGGTCCTTGCAGACTGGAAGGCGTCAGTTTCACCTGCGCATCTCCATGAGGTTTAAGTAGTCTCGTCTTCACCCCCTGTGTCCTCGTCCCCTGCAGCGACCTTTACCAGGCCCCGCCCCGCCGTGCAGCAGCCAGGATTCTGGGCACCTCTGCTGTCCTCAGGCCGGCAGCAGGCCTCCTGTCACAGGAATGGAGGGCAGCGGGGCCTCCGAGTCCCAAGAGTCATCGTTTCTTGTGTTGCCAGGCCTGCCTCTCTGTCGTCCTAGGGAGACCCCATCTCTCACCACTGCAGAATCAGCCAGCTTCACGTTGACCTACTTACCCTATTTGGGCTAAAAATCTGCAGGCAGTAAGCTTATCCCATCAAAAATGGGTTCTAGGCAGACCTTGTTTTGTTGCACCCTGCTTTATTGTGCTCCACAGATGTGTTTTTTACAAACAGAAGGCAGGAGGACCCTCTACCAGCAAAAGGATTATGACTGGCTCTATGTAGATACCTGCTTTGTTGGGGTCTGGAACCAAGCCCGCAGTGTCTCTGGGATCTGGAAGGGCGCTAGCTCCCAGGAAATACAGCCCCCCCGTCACAGGAAAGAGTTTTCAGCCAGGACATTTTCAGCTTTTCCCTCTTGTGCCGTTAAGGCGGCGCTTTTCCATGGCGTCGGAGGGGCTGACTGCGCCTGCACAGCTGGCTTTCTGCTCGGCGCCAGCGGTGCTGGGAGAAAAAGACAGACGCCGGCCCCGTGCGGGGCGCCCCCACTGAGCTCCCCCTCTCCCCAGGCGTGCCCAGCAGTCTCAGAATGAGAACGAGCAGCTCGGTTCTCTGCCGGGCCTGCAGAAGAGATGCTGCAAAGGGCAGATTCTGGACTCTTCGGAAGGCCCCTTGCACACCTTTGTGGTTGGCTCACTGGAAAGCCCCTTGGGCACATGGCTGCTGTCCTGGCTGGGCCAGGAGTGGACGTGCACCTTGTTACTATTGGGGGCAGCCTCAGAGCCACTCTTGGCTGCCATCTCCCTGCCTCCTGACGTCATGAGCAGGAGCCCTGGCTTCAGCCACCACTGGTCCCCTCCACAGCTCCTTCAGCGGTAGATGTTTGCCCCAGTGCCGCGACAGGCCCAGCCTGTGCCCTTCCAGCTCTGGTTAAGCTGCAGAGCCTGTGTTCTAAACAGTGAGGTTGCCCAGGAGCCGCTGCAGGGTGACAGGGAGTTAAAGGAGCATGGGTGACAGCAGCCCCTGGCTTGTGTGGGTGTTAGTTTTCCAAGCACCTGGGCCCACATGACCTCTGTGACCTTCATATGGCAAGGTCAGCAGGGCGGCAGTGATTCCCACAGTCTGGGGAGCAGAGGCTGGGGCTGCGCCCCGGCCCCGCAGGTTCTGCGCAGTGGTCACGCGTCTGCTTCTCGATTCACAGGGGAGACGCCGGCTCTGCCTCTCCTCTTCCCCTGCGGAGCCCTCAAAGGAGAAACCCTGCCGAAGACACTCAAGGACAGAGGTGACTGGAACGCCTGACTCTCGGGCGCCCGCACCCCTCGGGGTTGTGCCTCCGTGGGCACGAAGGAAGCCTTGAGTTTGGGGCCCTGGCCCCATCTCTGCCGCCTCGGCCCCCTGCACTGTGGGGCTCAGTGCTCAGCGGGCGGCAGGGCCCAGATGCCTCAGGCCCACCCTCGCTCTGGCTCGTGCTGTGTGGGTGGGCACCACTCACCCCCGACGCAGTGTAGACGCCAGTGTATTCCCAGGGCAATAAGTCTGTTTCCTGGTTTTGATCGTGTCCAGGGATCCCCATGGAGAGCATAACCGTCTATCAGAAGATTCCACACCCGGGAATCCAGGTGAACCTGAATAGCTACTATTCCGAGCAGGTGAGCGCTGTTTCTAGGGAGAACTCAGGCAGGGTGGGCAGGTGGAGGGTGAGGCACAGCCTCTCTGCGTGGTTCCAGCCCTTGGCCGTGTGACTGTGGACATGACCTTTCAGAGGTGCCATCTCTGTATCTGTGGAATGGGAAGAGACCATCTAGAAGGGTTTTTATAAGGATTAGAGGGAGAGATTTACACAGAGTTCTCTGTGCAGCATCCCAGACGTAGTAAGCCTGCCGCTGACGATGGCCTTGTGGTTGCTCTTCATCCCTGTGGAGTTGGTGGAGCTGTAGGGGCGGAGGCTGGGCCCACACTGGGACGGCCCGCGGTGCCCTGCCAGGGGTCTGGGCAGACTCTGGCAGGTCACGGGGACCTTTGGAGGCTTCAGGCAGGAGACCGGAGGGCACTTGTTTGAAAGATTTTCCACATCTAGATTTAGTAAGGCACCCAGAACAGGCTCTGAATGACCTGCGGCCTCTGGGACTCCTTCTGCCAGACCAAAGCGGGAGGCCATGCCGGTGCTCTGCCTGCTGCCCGCTCTGTTTCCGGAAGGGTGGAGAGTTGACAGGGAGCTGGGCGCGACTGCTGCCTCACGTGATCGGTGCTACTTTGGCCACACGAGCTAGAGGCATTGTCTGCTCGGCTGGGCCCGTGGGTCCATGGTGCCCGTGTCCTCTGGCCAGGCAGACCAGATCCGGGGGCTGGCAGAGCGACCAAGGAGTGGTGCCGCGCCTCTCGGCCACACGCTGCTGTCTGAGCAGCTCCTTGCGTGACCGTGAACTCGGGAGAAGAATGAGGGAGTGCCAGCGCCCCAGGAAGCCGCCTGCTGGCAACCTGTTTGGGCTGCCTGGGGGGCCGGGGGCGGGCGGAGGCGGATGGGGTGGGGGGTCTCTCTCCTCCGCGCCTAGCCTCAGGCCGAGGGTCTGACCGTCCTCTCCTCCGCAGGGCGTTCCAGCCAGCATCACGTTTTTCAGTCCCTCTGGCCTTGCGTACAGTCTCAAGCACATTCAGGAGTTGTCTGGTGACGACATCAATCACATTAAGGTGACGTATTCAATGAGGTTTTGGTCTTTTTCAGATTTTTTTATAGCATTTTTACTGATTATCCCAGAGTTTCCCTAGAAAAGTCAAAGCACTCCTGACCTAGCAGGCACCCCATGGCAGCTCGGCAGAACGGGAAAGGCAGGGCCTAGGAGTCCCCCAGCCCCCAGCCCCCCGCCTCAAGCTCGGCAGCGCCTCTGCCTGACTGGCAGTCTGGGACAAGTGACCTAACCCCCCTGAGCCTGTTTCCTCACTTGTCACGGGAGGATAACCATGTCTCTGTGGCCTTTGTGGACATGTAGAGGGTCTTCCCTGATGGACCAGTCCCCGGATGGGATGGGAGGGTTCAGGTGAAGCCCTGGCACAGGTGCGGCATCCTTTTCCTTCGGTCCCATCTGAGCGTCCTGAAATTGTCTGTCCTCAAAGCGGTCCCCTTTCATGTCTTTTACTTCAAAGGGTTGACAGTCACATTTTGGGGGACTGTATCTGTTACAGGTCTACACGTAGTCACCCCCTCATGGTGCCTGTCATGACAATGCTCTTGAACTGGCTTGGGGGGCTGAGGGGAGGGAGT